AGGGTGCTGCGTTTGCCGAGTGCCTGGAAAGTTGCATCCAGCTAGTTAAAATAGCTGTGTGGATACAACCAGGGCCAACCAGACAGTTTGCAAATGCCCACAAATACACCAGAGAAGCAGGGTAACTGGTCTGATCCGAAATGATATGGGCTGCATCTGTGCCCTGCTGAGGCCTGAGCCCCCTCTTCTCCCGGGTGTACCCCCCCCGCCCTCCCCCCGCAGCCTGGCTGGCAGACTTGCATTGTCCCCAGAGGCCACTTGTAGATCAAAGTGGGTCCCCAGAGAACACTGCCTCTGGCCTCTGCCCCCAAACACCCAGAGCCCTTTCTGAGAAATTCTCGGCGCACTGTTGGGGCCCGGGGCCAGGAGCACGGGGTGTGGATGTCCCCACGCTGATGTAATGATGATGGATGCGGCGACACTGCGCGCACACCGCCTGCGCTCCTAATGAATTGGCCTCTGAGAGGGGCTCAGGGAGCAGCCAGGACGCAGGCCCGGGGTGGTGGTGGGGGGGGGAAGGGTGATGCTTAAGGGTGTGAAAAACACACCTTGCACTTTTCTGAAGGGCCCAGACAGGAAAACTTAAGAGTGGGACAGCTTTCAGACCACATGGGCCACAGCCACGCAGCCTGACCAACATCAGCATCTTGACAAAGGAGACTCTACTCTCCTTTGCAAAGACAGAAGTTCGCTTTTTGAAGAGCCTATCCTTCTCTCCTTACATCTCTAAGTAGCAACCTCAAAGAGGACGATTTGAGACTATTGAAAATGTAGGTGGCCCTTACGAATTCTCCCATTTGGTCAGTACTGTATTGCTTTTTTTTTTTTCCCCCTTGCTCACTTTCAAATGCGACTTTGGGCTGCACCCTCACCTGGTCAGTGGCTGCAGGAAGCTTTAAGTGCTTTGTTTTACAGGAGATTGGTGCAGGTTCAGATTTATAATTTAGGAAGAAAAGACCCACCTGCGGGCAGGTTGCTAGTAGGCAGAGGGATTAGATTTAAATAGGATCTGGAATTAATTGTGCACTGGGTTTTGGCCTGGGGGAAATTATAAAACGTTCAGGGATGCTTGAATGGGAAAAACCTGCACTGCTTTGTGGAAGGAATGTTCATCCCTTCCCTTTTACCTGTGAAACTTGAAGCCTTAGGAAGGCATGTAGCAAGAGAGCAGTTTTCCTTGTTTTTGTTTTTTTTTTTTTTCTTTCTTGTCCAGGTACTCAGGCTACTGGGCCTCAAAAGTCAAGGGGCACACCAGCACATCTTGCATATAAGGTTTCCGCAGTGAGGGAGTTCAAGGAAGTAAGCAAAGAAACTGTGTCAGTGGGAAAGAAGTCTCATTTCACTCACTCATATCCCAAAAGCAGTGGCAAGTTGTCCTCAGAGAAAAGTCCTTGAAGTGAAGCAGAACTTGAAATTTTTCCTTGGTACTTAAGTTCTAAATAACTTGGAGATTATTGTTTGTGAAACCACAGCACTCTAGAGCTCCTGCCGTTTAGGGCCGAGGACTCCGTGGGGAATGTTCACTGGTCAGCCCTGACCTAAGGCGTTAATGATCATCTCAGTACTGAGTTTCTAACCCACTGCCTGTCCTGTGAAACCTGTCATCTCAGCTAGAAGCAGCCGCCCTTTTCTGCCCCTGGGTCCTCCTGCACAACTTGACGGGTATGGGTGTCCAGAATGTTAAACCTTTCTCTTGATAACTCACAGGGCCAAACTTACGTTTTATCAGTAAAATAAGCACATAGAATTCATAGGGAGATACAGGAAGCAGATGTCTGCCTTGGCACGTTGCCATTTTTATAACCACGTTCCACACATCAACTGCACTTTTAAATAATTAGTTACTAACTAATGAGATCCAAAAATAAGTTGTCAAAATAGAAGAAGGGGGTAGACTCTTCGGTGACCGAGGACCTATTTTTTAAAAAATCCTTTTCAAAAGGGGGTAGGAATTAGTATTCGCTAAGACTATTAATTACTGTGATGGCAGGCAGCGCCTGGAGCTTTACCTCTTCTTGTTGAAGCCTTTCTCTGCTGAGATGCTATGGGGAGGGTTGTGTTGCTTTCTTACAATGAAGTCCTTTGCCTTGGGGGAAAACCCAACAACTCCACAAAAACCAAGTTTGTCAAGGAACTTCGGTGACTTGTCTTTTCACTACTGTTAATTAGCTTCCTCTGCTAAAGAGGAGACATAGTTTTCGCTAGGAATCCCATCTCTTAATGGGATTTTCTGGTCCATTTGTAAGTTTCTGTGTAAAGTTTCAACTTAGGTGACTACTCAAATTCAACTGGTAAACTCTACCCAAATAGCTAAGGCTGGATATAGCAAGAGGCTGTTTCTTCAAGTGGTTAAAAGTGGAGTGTGTTAAGTATTTCTGCTATTTTATTTTATTTTATTTTTTGGTGGTTCTGGGAATTGAACCCAGGGCCTTCATATTGAGCTGTATCCCCAACCTATTTTTAATTTTGAGACAAAGTCTTGGTACATTGTCCAGGCTAGTGTTAAAAACTTGCAGTCCTCCTGCCTGTCTCCCAGAGTGCTGGGATTATAGGCATGTATCACCATATCTGGTTTTTATACACTTTGCCAGTTTTCGGAGATATTCCAAATACAGAATATAATGTATGTAGATTACTCAGTAGGACTAAAACACAAGACACTGTAGACTGAAAGTCACAGGGTCATGGATGTAATAGATTATTTTCTCAGTCACGTTCTTATTTGTACTAGGTGCTGGGAAGACAGAAATCTTGTCCACAATCTAGAGGGAGGGATGGTAGTCAGTGAAGACCTTTCTAGGTAAAGAGCTGATTATCATTGTGGTGGGTGCTGAGGGAGATGTGGGTAATCTGTGAATTCAGTATTCTGGAGTGTACTTCATTTATTAGTCTATCTAGTCAGCAAAGTCTTCCATGATCCTTCTGCCTGGTACATACCACTGAGCAAAACCACCATATAGAACAGTGGTTGGAAAGCTTTAGCAAGCCTGACCGTGAGTACTGCTTATTAAAGTACAGGTTCCCAGGTGTCATCTGTCCCAGGACATAGGCACGGCCTCAGAAATTGAACTCAGGAACCAGAACACTTAGCAAGCACTCAAGCAGCCCTGATCCCAGCGGTTCCGTGGCACTCTGAGAAAGTGATGCAGATTGGGTTGTGGTCTTGCGATGTATCAGAGATGTTATTTAAACCAATGTCAGGAAACATTAAAAACAAGTTCTTCTGGGATTTGTTAGAGGCAATAAAGGGTAGTCGAATTTTTTTTTTAAGCTTTCTTTATCTGGATTCATGGAAAAACTCTGGAGGATCTATGATCCTTCAGAAATTTAAGTGTGCATTCCTGTGTGTACAGTGTTTCAGGTGGTTTTCTGGAAGAAGGTCCTTAACTTTGAACATGTTCTGAAAGAGGATGTGCTCTCCCTCCTCCAATGAAAAGGATTAAATGCTACGATTTGATTCCGTCATTTGACCAGTAACACACAGAGGTTCAGCAACAGGTCGCCCGAGTTAGTGTGCTGGACAGCTCCTGGGACACTGGTCGGGTAGCCCTGGTCCTCCAGTTTGAACACATTTTGAGCTGGCTAAAGATATTTGCAGCCCCTTGACTCTTCTCTTTCTCAGTGCCTTTGAGAGATGTTTCTGAATTTGGAGTGGATCTTACAATTGATATGTAAATTTCACTTGGTGCTTCTTTTTTCTTTTTATTCCACAAAAGCTGTTCTTAAATAACTTGTGTGTTTTACACTGAATGACACTGGATAATCTCAGAAAAGAATTGCAAGTTAGTGCAAAGACTGATGTCCATAGTACCATGTGACTTTTGTTTCTTACGACTTCTGTTTACTTGAAATCCAGGTCAAGGGGAGTTTATTGTATGTTAAAGAATTTGCAGTTCCCTTGCAAGAAGAAGTTAAAGGTGACTAGACATATTTCATCTGGCATTTTAACTTTTTTTAGCTGGTGAAGCAGTTGCTTACTTTATTGTAGGAATCACTGCTCCTACTGAATACTGTAGAGTCTGGTAAAGGCAGAAAAATAAGTAGCTGACAAAATGGATATAAAATGCCCACTGTGGTGTTGTGATACAGATAACTTGAAGAAAACATGCCAGAGAGGGGACTGTTCATCTTTTCTTCTATTCTTTGTAGGTGTAGAGCAGGATCGCAGAAAAGAACGTAGACTAAGAAGGGTGAAAATTGATGAGTGATGAGTTAGGGCAATTATCACATGAATGAAGCCAGTGAAAGACAGACAGAGTAGGCTTGCCTCTAGTGGAGTTTGCATATATTTTAGTGACCCCTGGCTTTGCTGTTGGTAATCTCTCCGGGCTTTTCCTTGTGGGATCAGAGGTATATTATTCTATTACCTTGTTTCAAAAATGGAACCGAAATGAACTGAAAGGTTCTCATGTTTTAGAATATGGTTTATTTGGCTGATTTTGGATTACGAAGCATATTGCAGCTCAGAGATCTTAATGAAAGAAGCATACATCATTGGTTGCTTAGCTTGAATTATTCCCTACTTCAGAACTTTCAGTAAAAAGCCTGAATGTGAGCATTTGTGGAACATTCTTTACACCAGCTAAACAGAAACACATCTCTGCTGTAGAAGCAGTCCTATTGTCCCTTCTTATAAAGTTGGCCATCTGAAGAGTCTGTTGTAGACATGGCTTAAAAGAGTAACGTGACACTTGTGTTCCACGTTATGGACACAGCTGAGAATGGAGGTATTTGGACCATTTGATGGCCAGTGCCCAGGAAGAATTTAGGAAAACGTTCACATTGTGGAATACTGCCTTTTTCCTTTTGGGTATGTGGATAACATTTGCCTGGCTTGTTAATAAAACTCGGAGACTTTTTTTTGCCAAAGAGCCTGTGGAGAAACATGATTCAGAGTTCAATTTTTGCTAAAATTTTCTTCTCTTACTTGACCCGCAAAGGATGCTTTTGGGGCCTCTCCTACTTTTACGTAAAGTTGATGGCTTTGTGGTGTTTTGTAGGTGTTCCCCCTAGAAAAGAGCTGAAGTAATGAGAAGACACCATGGAGGCCCAGTCCCATAGCTCCACGAGCACTGAGAAGAAGAAAGTGGAGAATTCCATTGTGAAATGCGCCTCCCGAACAGATGTCAGCGAGAAAGCAGTGGCCTCCAGCACTACTTCCAATGGTGAGCAGCCACTCCACACCCAAACCCGCAGTCCTCTTTTTATCCCCTGCATTTCTTACGAATTGAGCATTTCCACCTGGATCAGTGCTTGTTCTAGCAGAGGCTGAGGAAGACGCATGAGGTGGAGGGTGGCGGGAGGCGAATGGGCAGATTTCAGGAATCTCCATCTTGGCACTTAACCTACGTGTTTTCTTCCAGATCTTCTAATTTGGGATGTAAATGTGATAGATTATTTATTATAGGAAGTTCCTGTTTTGGCATTTTAGAAATCAACTTGATTAGTCTGGCGAGAGTTCAGAATGCTTTGCATTTCACAAGCAAAGTCTATATTCTTTGGAATAATTAGCTTTTATAAAATATACACAAGCTGTCTTTGTTAAAATTAGTGACACCCCCCCCCCACTGCTCTTCCTCAATTTTAAGTAGTCTGCTATAAAGGATTTTAAAATTTAGCAGTTGAACCTTAAGGTAGCATTAGGATCTGAGATGGGTTTCATGGTTGGCTTACACAAATTGAATTTATTTAATTGTTTTCAGAGCAACATAGTCTCCTTTTCTATGCATTGTGTTTGTACATTGTAAGCAATGTACAGAGGCATTTCTGTTCAAGAATGGAGTGTTCAAGTCAATTCCAGAGCCCCTGGTGGTACAGACAGACTAGATGGGTTAGTGGTAACCTTTGTGTCCTTGCTGGGAGACAGTCTCTTTGATTTTTGTAGCTTTTACAGCCATCCTGGCCTCCTGGCTTTCAGTGCACTTTTCCACCATCAAGCTGGCTAGCTCTTGGGTGCTGTGTAGCTGGGCTCACTGATTTGTGTGAGCCAAACTGCTCCCTTCCTCCTATCTCCCCCTGGGCTTATCATTATTTATCCCTGGAAAGGTTCTACCAGCATGATTTACAATTTTCTTAGGTGTAGAGGTGGAGACTTAGAGTTGGCTTCGGAAGGGAGCTTTGGCCCAGAACCTTCGCCTCTGAAAGCAGAGATTCCTGAAGAGTCTGGCTGCCCCTCTGTGCCTGTGCACATCTATCCAGTCTGCCCTTCTGGCTGCCCTCTTCCGCTGATGTCTTGAGCTGTGCTCCTGGATGTGGCATCAAGGATGGGCCCTGGCTTTCAGACCTGCTGGCTGATGAGTCTGCATTTGCATTCGTCCTTAGGGAGATATATTTATGTTTGGGTTGAAATAATGAATTTACAAATAAGTATGCAAAAGATAAATCACCCTAGTACGACCTTTCTTGGAATAAATAAATGATAAGCCTTACTTTGTTTGTGGTATTTAAACTCAGAATTGGAAGCTGATGTGGTGGCTCATGCCCATTACCCCAGCACTCTAGAAGGCTGAGGCAGGAAGATCACAGGTTCAAGCCCACTCTGAGCAACTTAACAAGACACTTTATTAAAATAAAATAAAGAGGTCCAGGGATGTAGCTCAGTGTGAAGGCCCTGGGTTCAGTCCCTACCATTGCAAAAACAAACCAACCTCAGGACCAGAGCCAGAATATTTCTATTATTTTTCCAAGGGGCTGGGGATTTAGCTCAGCGGCAAAAGCGCCTGCCTGGCAAGCACAAGGTCGTGAGTTCAGTTCCCGGTACCGGAAAAAAACCAAAAAAAAAAAAAAAAAAAAAGAAATATTATTTTTCCAATGTGGTCACAGAAGGTGTATTTTCCCTTTAAAAAAAAACACAACGTGTTATTCTGGGTTCTTTCTTCTAGAATTTGTAAAAATTAATCCAATTTATTATGTCAGAAGTGGAATCAATGCATGCAGTATTGGTTATTTGGTAATTTTCATAGTAATTTTGTAGAATAAGTGTTTTCTGCACATCACGCTTCAGGAAACATCAATTTTGGATCATCTTTAGGGTGTGTGTGGGTATCAGTGACAAGAATGTGAGAGCACGTGAACCTGCAGTACACTGGGAATGCGTGTGTGTGGTGTGGGAGGGAAGAGGCCAGAACGGTGCCTTTGGGGGAACGTGTTTGTCATAGTTACTTTTCTTGTTGCTAAGACAAAATACCCGATACTGAAAGTTAAAGGAGGAAAGGTTTATCTAGCTCACAGTTCGTGGAGGTTTCATTCCATAATCACTTGGCTCCAAGGTAAGGTGGCATCATAGAGGAGAAACAGTTTATGGCAGACAGAAGGTAGCAAAGCAACAACGGACAAGACAAGTCTTTTTCTGTTCCTTGTATTGTGTCCAGGCTACTGGGATTAGGATGGTACCAAACCAGTCAGCTCACTGATTTAGTAAACACTCACCTTAATCCTAGCATCCTTAATCCTAGCATTGCACCATGAATCAGTCACACACTCTAGATTCAGCCACCTTGGGAAAAACCCCACCTATGACTGCATGAAGCTTTAGGGGGACATGGAGACACAGTGTTACTATACCAGGTGGAGTCAGGACAAGCCCCGTCCTAGTCATCAACTTGTTGTCACCACCTCCTCCCTCCTTTTGAAGGTGCAGCTGCCACCTTGGGATATGCACCTAGGAGGTGTTCTACTCTTGCTCTGGGTCCTATGCCACCCTGTGACCACAGGTCCCCTCAGAAGCCTGTGGAAAGTGACTGGGAACAGAATTAACCTAAGTGGAACAGTGGTCAGGGGACCTGGAGAGAAAACTAACCAGAGAAGGAGCAGTTATGAGTTGCAAAAGCTAATCCTAAAATAAGATGAGCATGATGGCACCGCACTGTAGGTGGCTGAGGCAAGCTCGAGCCCAGTGTGGGTAACTTAGTGACTTAGAGAAACCCTGTCTTAAAATACAGAAAGGACTGAGGATATAACCCTGCAAGAAAGCCTTGGGTTCCATCAGTCAGTCCTGTGATACGGAATCATCACAGATTGTTTCCTAAAATGTTCTCCACTGGTTTTGTTCCCTGATCAGCCTGTGCCATTGAGGCCTACATCCCCTCCTGCACGTGTACAAATCCCATCCCATCTGGGGTCAAAAGGCCTGAGAGCTCTCCAGAATCATCTGAACTCTGACCATTATCAAACAGATGGAAATAGTTTTTTTAAAACATGAATGTGCGCTTGATAGGGGGATCCCAGAAAAACAAACAAATACCTTTAAGGACAGAAAAAAGTAAAACCAAGGAAAATGAACTTTTTTCTTTAAGTGAATGTTAATAATTATGATCTTCTTTACAGAGTTCTGTGTAAGTACTGAGTGCTAACTGATTGTTCCACTGGAGCACCAGAGGCCTTTACACAGTTCTCTGCAGTTTGCATCTAACTAGTTTAGAGCCTCCTCCAGACCCAGGTGGTGGTAAGAGCGAGAGGTGGTGGACTGCACAGCTTCTGTGTGCTCTCTTCCTAGTCCTGCTTGTCCTGCCGCACTCTGCACTGGTCACAAAAGCCAGTTCCTGTGCCCTGTTTGGGCCTAGAGTTCATGCAGGCATTCAGAGATCAGTGCACTGGGTACGTGCTGGCCGGAGGCTGCCATTGTTATGGCTGTCATCCATCTGTGCATTCATCTGTCTTGCTACAAATATTTCAGAAATGCATGGAGACCTGCACGAAAACTATTTACAGACAGGAATACACAATCCATGGGATGCTGTCACAGGTAGCACTGGTTGCTCCTGTTTTTAGAGGTCTCCTAAGTTTTCCTTTCAAAACTCTGCCCTTCGCTTCATAGCTGGAGAATTAAAATATGAGTTCAAGTGGGACATCCTTGCTCATACTTGTCATCCTGACACTTCGGGAGGCTGAAGCAGGAGGACCACAAGCTGCAACCCAGCCTACGTAACAAAACAAAAAATAGTAAAAAGGAGTTGGGATGTGGCTTAGTGTAAAGATGCTGGTTCAATCCCTAGTACTGTAAAGAGAGAGAGAGAGAGAGAGAGAAAGAGCTCAGTATCAACAGCCAGATGAATGTAATACAGGCATCTTCTCTCCCATCCACCCTTCCATGGTTAAAAATGAAACAAACAAAAATGTTTTGTTATTGGTGAAATTATTGGTGAATTTGACTTAACTAAGTTTTCCAACCATTATGTGGTGTAATTCGTTCTTGATTCTGAGGCTCCTAGCCAAAGCACGCGCATTCCATGGCGTGTCCTCACAGGCCTGTTTTCTTGCTTTTCTTGCTGAGTCTCTGCTTCTAGAATAACACTCGTATAGAGTTTTGTTTAAACACAACATACACACAGCCAGACATGTGCTTCAGAAACCCCGAACACCGTTGTAAACAGGCATTTGCTTCATACGCCTGAAAGTTAAAATAAACACAAGTGAAAAACTGTGTTCTAGACGTTGTAGGGGAACAAAGGCTGAATTGGATTTTTGTAACGTTTAACAGTTTCTGTCTACATTATGAAGGCTGTCAAAGTTTTTACAAGGGAACCACAATATGCCTATAGTTTAGTGGATCCTTAATCCAGTTTTAAATTTCAGTGTTATTTATGAGATGGCAATGACAAAGAGTTTTTCCTCAACATTTTTAAGTGTATTTGTGATTTAAGTGATCGTTTTTGTCATCAGTGACACCGTGGCTTTCCCATATAAAATGTGCATTCACATGGTAGTCCTCATTGTGGACTTAATCAGTTGATCTGATAAGATTATAAGTAAGACACCTTAATAATGTGCATTTCTGGTGTTAGTTTATTACTTCCAAAGACAGATGTTGTGTTTTCTAAATAAACGGAGTTTTACATTTAGATCTATTCCTACTTTACACATTTGCATTAGCCTATGCAATTTCGCTCCGTTGCCTGCTCTTCAGTTTGAAAAGTTTTCATCATTTTTGGCTCTCCCTCTTTTTTTTTTTTTTTTTTTTTTGAGTAATCTGGTAGTTTCTATGGACCTGCTATTTCGGTGTTAAAAAAGAAACTCACCCTAAGTGATGTAACTGTTGTCCTGAGTATCTTTCCTCAGATCTGAAAGTTATTGAGGACACACCGGAAGGTGGTAGAAAGATGAAATGATCTCTCTGTTGGTGACGGAACACGAAACTGTCGTTGATAGATGAATTAATAATGAAAAG